ATATAATGTTCAAATAAATGATCTTATACAATATTCGAAATAAAAAACATACATAAATATACAGTTTTCTTTTCTTTCATTTTATTAATATTATAATCGTTTTATTAATGCACGGCTATTTTTATCCTTTTTATTTCATTACCTAGCCTTTTTATTTATTTCTATACAATAATAATAATAAAATATACTTAGAAAATAATTTACAGGATTTTTCGATATTCAAGTCGTCCTATCACTATACTTTTTAATATTTGAAACATCAGTTTTTAATTTATCAAAAATTGTATTACATAAATCTAGATGGTACTCGAGTTCCACTCGACTACAAAATGCGATGGGATACTCGATATCCAAATCACGATTATAATAGAATGCAGGCAATTTTATATATTGTCGAAATACAAGTGATATTAATTCAATAGATCAGTTCATCTAAACTAATAGTTTACATTTTATTTATCGAATTTTCATTTGTATCTCATCTTTCATATTAAAATACAATGCAAGTATCATTTTATAATTTATATAACGTACATATACCATTAGATAAGCGAAAATACATGAATACCATTGAAACTTGTTATCTTTTATTTTATTCACAGTTCACTGATGGTTTTCAAAAGAATGTCTAAAATATATTTGGATTGATGACACTCAAAAGAACTACTTTTTGCAAAATATAAAATTTTCACATTTGTACAGATCTTTCTTACAAAATCTATCCTATAAGTCTAGATGTCAAATATAAAAAACAGATTAGACAATATATTTTCCTACTTTTATATGTAGAATGTAAGAAGATTTAATTTCAAGTTAACTTGCTATTAATCCATCTCATTGATATTGATTATTTTGATCAAGATAAGGGTGTGGTGTGGGTGTGGGTGTGAGTAGCGATAAAATACATCTACACCTGCCCACACCCTCGATATTCATTATTCTTTGTTGTACTACGTATCATCTCTAACCGAATTTAAATGCTTCTATTGATTATATTTTAATTCTACAGAATTAAATTCTTATGTTTGGTCTTATTTGACGATAATGTATACTTTTTCTTTATACTTATACAATAAAATATCAAAGTAAATAAATCAATTTGTCAGTAATAAGAATCGGTTATTAATTGTATTTAAGTAAAATTCGTTTCAAAGATGTTAAATAGGTTAAACTGATTGAAGAATTTCTTGAATATGAGTGAGTGATTGTAACTGAGAGTATTTCATTTAGTTGTAGAACTTATCCAAGAGAATAATGGTATGGATGTGGTTAGACGTCTATGAAAAAGAATACCACTCCCCCCCTCAAGTTTTGGCCACATATTTCTATTCAGTATTGATATAAAATCTTCTTCGAATGTCTACTCTATTGTGCTTTCGATCTTCACAAATAGTTGTTAAGAGTCTTCACTTTTTCGAACAATCATTCTGAAGTTTTATCCTGCAGCCACCAGAGTACAGATCGAATAAATAATATAATGAATCTATATCAGATTTTATCAGAACATGCAGACTTTCCTCATGAAATCTTTACTCAATCATCATCATCATACAACACTTTATACATGTTGTTTTGGCTTTGTATGAAGAAACTTTAGCTAGACTCAATATGAAGCAAATTTTATTGAAGGGATAATTTTAAGATTTTCTGTATTGTTTTTTGGTGGGACGCTACAATACACGTAGTAGACATAGTTAGTTATTCGAGAAGAAGCGAATGTTTTAGTTGATAGTCATAAAGTTGTCATCGATATACGCATCTAAATCACTTCCAGAATGCAAGATGAATCTCATCTGATATTGGATTGATCTTGTTCCGATAGGAATAGGGTATGAGTTGGAGTATAAGATCCAGTTAGAACCAACTGTCTGCTCGGGAGAGGCAACATTGCTCAGTGTATCATTGAAAGCACTGAGAAAGTACAAGGTGACTGCGGCAGCGTCGATCGGCTTTTGTGGATAGCTACGGGACCAAAAACTCAAATTGACGGCAACGTTGCCAGCATCGATCTGCGACGTTGTAATTAATCGATCTGCATCCACAATGGCAACGGTTTGTGTAAGCGTACCGAACCAGCCAGTACCCCCAACAAATTGAAATAGTCCAGTGCGAGGTAAGTAATCTGAATCAAATGTGCCATTATCTAACCTTGAGTTCGAATTACCACCCACGACCCAAGGTCTGAGCATACCATTTTCTCCGCCTGGATTCATCAGCAAATTATTACCTATAAAAGAAAATATATTTTCAACGTAGATTTAAAGACACGTACCTAATGTTGATGTTAATGTTGTTGTTAATGTTGATGTTGTTGTTGATGTTGATGTGGATGTTGATGCTGTTGATGTTAGTGTTGATGTTAGTGTTGATGTTGATGTTAGTGTTGTTGTTGATGTTGTTGATGTCGATGTTAGTGTTGATGTTGTTGTTGATGTTGATGCTGATGTTGATGTTAGTGTTGAAGCTGTAGTGGTGGTAATCATTTCCGATTTCTTCGGTTTAAGAATAGCAAATTTTAACGTTAGCGAAAGAATGACTGTAAAAACGATCAAAATGATAAAAGAGATACAAACAATCTTAATGAAACGACGCTGCCACCATTTCTGTGGTCCACTATCTTCATTGACACGCTCACTGCTCAGTTGGTTGTTATGTAGATTATCTGCCATAAGAAACTACAAGTAAAAAAAGAGCGAGATGTTATACGAAGTTACTTTATATGTATTTATCATTATCACATGATCGATGAAAAATAGGTAATATTAGCTCAACATCCAAGCAAGTGTTGCTTTATCTTTATTTAAAAAAAGATAAAGAAATAAAAGATCAATTCGTCTACCATGTAAAAAGTATTATATAACAAAGCATCATCATCAACTTTAAATTCACTTCACGCCGAAGAAATTATTTATTCAAATAGAATTCTCGATTTTTGCCAATAAGACTTTCGTCAACTGCATATTTACCATTGGCGAAAGTCCTGATGGGTGGATCCGTGCGTGGATATTCTTTTCATCTGCCCGTTCAAATCATGAATGATCTCATGTAACAATAAATGATCTGAATGATAATAATCACAATCATATTGATACACAAGATCAAGTCTAACTAATGCACAATTATAAAAAAAACTTCCTTTCACATCAATATAGCATTCAATGTTAATAATTGATTTAAGTAGAAGTGATAACGTTTAACAATATTAAATTGTCATGGCGATTCACTCATACGATAAAATCTTATTTTATGACTAACAAGCGCTTATTCAGTAGGAACAGAAACACACAAACAATTGCATTGTAATCTATCATCACAATACTAACTTACCTAGACTATATGATAAAGATTAATTAGACGTATATCAACAGTTAGTACTAAGAAAATGAAATAAAATAGATGTTGCGTATCAAGCGTTTTCTATTTTATAAAATAATGAAAAAATGAATATCTTCTTCCCTATTGTTCTCCTCCTCTTCATTTTTTTCTCTTATAAAAAATTAAAACTGTTGTCTTTATCAAAAATGCATGATAAAATACGAGCAAACTCATTTGTTCCTGTCTGATCGGTGTAATTTTCTAGTTGTTGACTCAAGTTTGAATATTTACAACAAATGATATGCATAATGTGCCATTAGTTAATGCATTTCTCTGACGCAATCACGAGTCAATATCTGATTTTTAGTGCCTCTATCTCATAAGTGATACGTCTGTCACACAATTAAATTCTAAAAATGAAATGAAACCCGATAAAATAAGTTCTATGTAATGGTAAAAAAAAGACGACTGAACAATAAAAACACCACTGTGGATTTGGGTGTAGATAAATGAATAGCTTTTTACTTATATTCGATTTTCGGACTGGATGAAGATGACAGAACAAACTCGTTGACTTTACAGATGAGCAAGATTCGTATTTTACATCGATATAATAAGACAAATCTTTAGATGGATGGTAATACATCGGATTTTGAATTCAATAGCTGTATCCAATTAAGGAAAACTGTCATGTTTTTATGCTCGTTTTTGAAAGTTTCTAATTAATTTGTGGCTGTGGGTATAATCAGAGAAAACAAATCTACACTCTCACAGCCACCCACCAACACCTATACATTCACACAATAAGTAACGGTTCCTTGTCGTCAATAACTTTTGTTTTTCTTCTATCTACAATAAATATTCTCTATAGAATATTACTGCGCATGATATTTTCAACTTATTCAACATGATGGAGACGTGAGAGTTATTCATATTCTAACTCAACATATATTTATCAATCTTAACTGTAAAATTTTAATAATATGTTATATCTTGCCTGATAAATATTTCATACTGAACGTTTGTCCTCAGTGCTAAAATTCTCTGGTAGAAATTACCCTCGAGAAGACTAGATGGTAGTATACAGTTTTATAAACAATGATTTCGCATATCACCCAGAATTCGCAATCTTCCTATATTTTCTATATATCAGAGAAACTGAAGTTTTTTGGCAGAAATCAAAATATTTCATTTCAAGAATACTTTGGAAAATATTCACGTAACAGATGCGGGTGTCGATCTGAGTGTGAACCGCTCTGCTTCAATCACACCCACACTCACACCCACACCCACACTCATTAAAAAAATTGCACTCTCAAAAATGAAATAATATTTTATTTAAATAAAAAGTATTTGCGATTCAATAGTTTACAATAAAAAATTGAAATAAAATTAAATGATTGGTATTAGTTCGATCTTGATATATTAATCTCACGTGTAAACGAATCATTCATTCAACGTTTTCATTTGAATTATCTAACGCCACGTCCGAATATCAGATGAATGCACACGTTTATTATTTGTTTTAAATTTACTATAACTATTACTATGCTTTTTTGTCAACCAATTATGTATATATTCAAGCTAAAATAAAAGATAAAGAAAATAATAGTTTATTATCATCAATACTTTATCAGCAATTTCTCCATAATCAGGTCGTTCCACACGTTTTGCTTTTAAACATCGATACATTCTAAAATAATATATATTTGAAATAACTATTTCATGTTAAAATCTTACAAATCTTGCAGTAATGGTGGAACATCTGGATCAATTTCACCAAAATCTATACGTAGATCTCTTATATCGCCTTCAATATAACTTTCAAGTTTAGCAATTAATTGAGCTGTACCCGCTGCTGCGAATGGTATTTTTCGAGGATGTGTTAAAAATTCAATAAGTATACAACCATATGACCATACATCAGAATAATTATCTGGTTTAGAAAAACGTAATCGTTGTGGTGCCATCCACCGAAATGCACCAACAGCTTCATCAATTTGACCGGCCAATGATGCATTAATATATTTTTCTATCAATTGAGCACTACCAAAATCAGATATTTTTGCTGTTGTATGATCACGTGTTAGTAAAACATTATTTGATGATAAATCTCCATGAAGTAATGATGTATCATGTAATAATTTTACACCACGCGATATATCAGTTAACAGTGCAAGACCCTGAAACCAATTCATTGGTGTATATTTATTATTACCATCATGTAGCCAACTATTTAATGTTCCACCAGCCATATATTCCATCACTAAAATATTCATAGAATGTACTGAATAGCAGAGAGATCAAATTCACTATCTTACCAAACATAGCTGGTTCTTTACAATAAGCAATAGCTTCAACAATATTTCGATGACGAAAATTTCGTAGTTTCTTAAATTCAATTAATGCTTCTTCAAAATCTTCTTTACGTAAAGGAACTTTAACGGCAACTGTTCGACCTTGAAATTTACCTTCAACTACTTTTCCAAATCCACCCTGACCAAGCACCTTACCTAGGATAATAGCCTATCAATAGATATGTAATCGATATTAAGATATAAATCAATGATGTGCATACAGATGCTTTAGTAACAGGAATTTCTTCTGCTTCAATAGTAGCTTTAGTTCTAGGTTTTCTAGTATTTTTTAATCGTTTTACATAAACTTTTTTCTTCTTCTTCTTCGTACGTTTTTTTATTTTCTTTTTACGTTGAACTTGCTTAATTTTTTTCTTATTTGGTTTTGTTCGGTGTAATTTTCTCTTAATATTATGTTTTGCTTTTTTTATACCACCACCTCTACGTCGATTACGGTCCAATTTTTTTGGACGTATTCTCTTCTTCATTTTTACTTTTCGTATAACATGACGAAGTTTTTTCTTAATGTTCGGTTTTCTGATTCTATTTTTGACTTTTTTTACACCGCCACCACGAATTGACTTCTTTTTGTTTTTATTGAAAGATCGTACATGTTTTTTTGGAGCCACAATAATGAAAAGTAAAAAAAAAGAAATAATAAGCGCTCAAAAATATTG